AATAGGGTGGGGTCATTAAAAAATCTTCTACTTAAGAACATCTGGGCCAGAAAAGCTGAATCTTATGTGGAAGCATCCTGGGGTAGTGTAGATTCTAAATTGTTAAAATAATGACCCCGGGGGTTGGGCGGGGCCAATATGGGGAATCAAAGTTTTACATAGAAATATATAGGAAAAAACTTTAAAAATTTTCTTGTCAAGAACCACTGGGCCAGAAAAGCTGAAACTTATGTTAAACCACCTTGAGATAGAGTAGATTCTAAATTGTTAAAATCATGACCCCCGGGGATAGGGCGGGGCTACAATGGGGAATCAAAGTTTAACATAGAAATATAAAGGAAAAATCTTTTAAAATCTTCTTGTCAAGAACCATTGGGCCAGAAAAGCTGAAATTCATGTGGTACCACCTTGGGATAGAGTAGATTCTAAATTGTTCAAATTATGACCCTTGGGGGTTGAGCGGGGCCACTATTGGGAATCAAATTTTTTCTTAGAAATATATAGGAAAAATCTTTAAAAATCTTCTTGTCAAGAACCACTGGGCCAGAAAAAGATGAAACTAATGTGGGGGCATCCTGGGTTAGTGTAGATTCTAAATTGTTAAAATCATGATCCCCAGGGGGAGCGGGGGGGTAGCAATAGGGAATCAAAGTTTTACAATGGGGAATCAAAGCATCCTATGGTAGTGTTACTGTGTAGATTTCAAATTGTCTAAATTATGATCAGTTGGGTAGGGTGGGGTTACAATATGTATTACAAGGGGGAAATTTGGTAAAGAACGTAATAGTCAAAGCTTCTCAGGTGAGCGATGTGGCCCCTGGGCCTCTTGTATTTAGTTTGATAGTAAAAAGGCATGAATTGACACATGACAAATTCTAAAAAAGAACGTTTAATCCTATAATGAAATTCATGGCCATTTGGTTACGTGTTCCACTGTTATGATGTATACATGTAGCTCTATTGGTTCCATTGTGAAGACGATGCCATGCTTTGAATTTTTATCTCCTCAAAAAGGAGTTGGGAGTTTCACTGATTTAAGACGTCAAATGTCAACTTACAGCTAAGATGTAAATGATAAACAATCGATATACACTTTTCATAGTTATGCAGTAATAATCCACTTTCAAATGATAAAACAAAATAAAACAGAACAATCGTGGACCACTGTGTTGTGTAAAATATGATTGCCCTATCATATGTCATCATACAGAAATCACCAAAATTAACATGTTTGAAAATAAGGTCAAACATGCAAGTCAAAGTCAAAATATGAAAGTCCTATATATTCTTATTCAAACGTTCTCAAGGAAAATGTAATTTCTAAAAAGTCGGTCAAATGGTCAAACTCTGGTATGTTTAAAAGAATTTGCCACAGATTATATGCATTTTTTATATAAAAGTCCCAGCTTTTCCTTTTCATGCGTAACGATTAATTTAAATCAATGCAATGGTTTACTATAGGTCAAATTTTAAGGTGAAGGTAAGGGTATCGGAATAGAAAGGAAACATTTTAACATGTTAATAACAACGCTAAATCCTATGATATTTCTTTGAAACTAATATCATTTGAAAAGTCTCAAAGAAATGTTATTACTACTTGAAAAAATAATGCGCCAAAACGTATGACGGTCCGACACTATGACATCATTTAAATTGAACCTTTATACTTTGTCTTAAATTACGTAGGCACAGGCAACTTAAAATCTTTTTGACCTATATAAATATTTTTTAAATTCTTAAGAGTTAAAAAGATATATCAAAGTAAAGCAACAAAGGGAATAGGCTAATCTAATTTAATTCACAGCAACAAAGTATAAATTGAAATGTACGATACTGATGATTCAAATATGAAAAAATAAGTTATTGCTACATTCAGGTTTTGTTGTACAAAAAAATTATCTAATGATTCAACCCAGTTTTAGTAAATGATTTCATTCGTGAACTTCAACTTTTTGTCTGACACAAAATACAGTTTGACATATTGATAAATAGAAATAGCTCTACATGGGGTTTATGGTCTCGTTTTGTTTTAAACAGTATTTTCTTCATGTATTTTAAAGTCCCATTCATTTATAAATGATTGTCCAAATAGTTTATTGTTTGATTCTGCAGGAGGCATACTTGAGGTTAGATATGATCATGTTTGTATTGTCTTAAATTTAGAATCTGACTAATAGTACAATTGTGACATGAAATGAATATATGTTTACATCTTGTAAGACATCCAAATATGAAACACTCTAGATCTCTTTTATTTTAAAATCAAGCTCACTGGGATATATCCTGCTGATATATGAATAAATATAAATTTTTAATTGTTTAAAAAATCGTCGAAATATATGAATCGATTATTAAGACGGTTTTGAATATATAGTTTGTTTGAAAGGGGTTTTAAAAAATATATTCTGATCAACAGTAGTCTTCTTTATGAGGGTTGTCCGCGAACATTTTGAATAAGTTTTGTTTCGTGTATATTACAAAAGTTGAACTTGAATTCATGTTCACCATTATCAGTATCTATTAACAAATATACAGAATTTCAATATATAAATATTCAATAGATATTTAAGTTAATTAATTCGAAGCATAAACATGATAAATAAAAACATCATTAAAGTTTCCGTTCTTTGCCCAAATGAGACAATTGACAAAATCTATTAATATTGTTTTGTAGGGACTGCGTCTCCTATACTAAGATCAATCATTCATCCACAAAAGCGATATATCTGGATTTTTTCTTTTTCATAAAAAACAAATGTTAATCAAGACTACTGCTGAAAAGTAGGTTTTGAATGAAATATATGATGGTGTTAAGAATTCAAGCTTAAATTCATACGTGTGGAGGATTATATCCATAAGATAAACCTATGATTAATCCACGGGTTGGTGCTTTGTCAGTAGTATTCCAGGTTCTGAAATGATCCCTTTATATAATATTAGAATGTTTCAAAATATCGCTTTGTATAAACATTTGCCTTATTAAATGAATAATAATGAGCTAAACGAATATACAATGATTCATATTGACTGTTTGTTCCTCTGGCAGTCGTTTGATCATGAGGAAAAGTCTAACCACATTCAACGCTTTCTTACATTATACTATGTCCATATATGTACATATTAGCACATTCATGACTCTACAATGGAACTGCAAGTAACCGTGTACAGTGAAAATTGTCATCGTACAGAAGAATGACTTCAAATTATCATTTTGTACATGATCTTCCCTCTGTTGATATATCAACCTCTGTAGTACGAGGTCAATGAATTGATATGTGATCAGTTTTGAAGTTTTTATAGTTTCACACGATTTGTTTAAAACAGAAAATGTACAAATTTAATTATACAGAGCATATTATTAAATGCAAGATCGGAAATACTGTCTGTATATAATTTCTGAGTTGCTGCGATGTGGTTTGTTTTATCGTTATTTTATCGGTCGTAGACTATACTAACACCTAAGCTGTGATACCAATTACCCTGCCACAGATACCCAACATAAGCATGGGATTAAAGGTGTTAACTAAATGCGAGCGCAGCGAGCTCAATAGACTAACGTGTAAAAACAGAGGAAATTCGGAATGAAATCTGCACATACGTCAGACAAAATTTTATATGAAACATTCCCAGAATTCCTTTACTACCCAATGTCCTTTGCGCAAATGAATAAATAAATAATAACGTAAAGCATAAAAGACTTTCAGTTTGTAGAAATCTTTCAAAGAAACAAAAATAAAATCTGTAATGTTTTTCGACCAAAATTGCACTAGGTCTTTAGTTTCAACCAGACGCGCGGCTGTCTCCGTAAGCTCCGACGAACTCTGTGTCGTCGTGTGACGTCACAGCTGGTCGAGATGTTTCGTGCGGCTTGATGTTTGAAGTGACTGATCAATTTTTCAAGTGTTTTTATGGTACAACTGCGCTCGCCCCAACGGTCACACAGTAAAACATTTTAGCTACTTGCAAGAATGTGTGAATTCACGACGCCAGGTGTGTTCAGTAGGCCGATAAATTAATTACATTTCGAGATAAACCAGGAATATACTTCGGCATAAGCGGGTTATTCGATATTACCGTGTTCGAGATATGAGGTATTTTTAAATCATATAAACTGTATAAAGAGAATACTGCCGGGATCGGCGATTGACCTGGAGAATTGCGGAATATTCGATATTTATTATAAACCTCACGTAACAGTTAATTTTAGGCAATCATTCGACGTCCTAACCCGACTTTACGGATCACCACACTGTGGTTTTCTGAATCCATTTCATCACTCACTTAGTTAAGTCCCTTGTTATTATGCCTTGTTTTATGAATAAATATTATACAATTGATCTCTTAATTATTTTTTTGTTAATTCTTGCCAGATATAATAAACTTCGCGTCTCGTTAGATCTGATGATCCACGTCTGTCAACTCGACGTGATACGACCTTTCGGACCAAGTTAGTTATAAAAATATATACAAATCCCATGTTCGAAAGACTAATATTTACAAGTATTATCTATTTGTTCAATAGTTCTGAACAAAATGAGATAAATAAAACATCTATAATTGTGTGATGTGATATTAGCCTTATCAAACTTGTCGAGATGATAAATATTCTCTCGGCAAGACTTCCGAATTTTATACTTTGAACTCACTGATAAAGCAAACATTAAATCACCCCAAAATAGATATGTTTTCTATTTTTTTTTTCATTGAATGGTTTCAGGCATAACAAATGATATTCAAAAAAAAATTTTTAGGATAATTATTTTCATATGAGCTGCACAATTAGTGATCCTACAAAAGTACATGTTCACTTCTTGAGGTATCTGAGTGATAAAAAAGATCATTACAATGCTGATTCTGGTATCATTTTGGTTATGTTGGTTGAGTATAAAATATTGTATTTAAATTGCATGTCTTTGGTAAATATTTAATAACATTTATTGCAAAAATATAAATGAAGCATATGAGGGCCCTTTTGGCTTAAAAGAGAGATTGTCTCGAAGCTATGTCTGTTGTCTCGTGGTTCGTAGCTTGTGTCCTTTCCGAATATCCTTCAGTAATCGATCTATAATACAATCTTCTTCAATTGATTCTTTCTTTGCTGAAGTATCTATAAAGAGAAAAAAATATATTAACTTTTATTTTAAATAAATCAAAACTTTTCTGATAAATAATGAAATTCCTTTCTATGAAACATACGCTCAGCATGTTTCTTTGTCATTTCCTGTTCCTGCTTTTTCCTGCGCTCTGCCATTTCTTCTTTGTGTTTTCTCTGTAAATTCTCCTTTTGAAAAAAAAAAATTAAAAAATTGCATTTAGTTAAAACAAGAGGCCCACGGGCCTTATAGGTCACCTGAGTATCATGTAACAACTTTCCAGCGATTGTATTTGGTTCGTGTTTTAAGCCAAAAGCCATGAAATTCACGAATTTTGAAAGAGGCACCATTGCTTATCAAAGGGCAGATTTCAAAGCATTAATTTATTTTTAGTCAAAGTACCCCCTTGGTACCCCTGACCCAGCAGCCCTGAAATTATCTATTTTGAAAGAGGACCCTTTCTTCATTATAAGGCCAGCATTTTTTTTTTATCGTTTAGGTTTAGTTATGAACATGAGAATAAAAAAGTCCAAAGGAAAAGGAAATAATTTTTTTTTATAAATCAATTATTAACATTTGTACATTCTTTTTTATGCTATCCTAATAGGCTCCTTACCACTGGACACATAATGCTTACAAATAGGAAAGTAGAACATTTAATTGTTTATTTCATCATCTGCCAGTTTGGGCCAGTTATATAAATTTTGTGATGTTGATCAAAATATATTTTAAAAAATCAATTCTTTAAAAGTCTTTCAATACATCTTCATTTTCTTAATATGTGTTAGGTGAATGTGTAGACATTGTTCTAAAATTTACTTGATGCCTAAAATTATAATTCCTATCATAAAACAGACAGGAAGTATTGGGGAGTAGGGTCAACATTTTTTTCAATTAAGTGTAAAATAATTTTTCTGGCTGATACAAATGATACTACATATATTTGTATATTCTTGCCTTTTAATAGTTGAATTTTTTTTTATTTCTTCACTTCAGGTTATTGTTTATTTCTTCCTCAAATGGACTTCACTTCTCCCATAGTTTTATTCATTGCATCTGATGCATAAGCAACCATTTTCTGAAGAATGATGCTTAGACTGTAAGCTATAACAGAGACCTAAACAATGTCTCTGGCAATATGCAATAGCTACCACGGGCAGTTTAAAACCTGGGGGAGGAAAATAATTTACAGTTACTTTTGAAACGAATACATAATTATCTCACCAGCATGTCATTGTGCAACAAAGTCGTCAGCATTTTATTTGGCCTTTGAACGGGTGAAACGTTTTGAATGGCACTCTTATCGATGAATTTTACACTAAACCATGCTAAATTCTTGGATCTAGCTTTATTTACCAGCCGTTTCATCTAAAAACCGGAAGTGCGAGTTCGTAAATTTGAAATCTCGATCCCGACTCAAATTTGACATCGGAAAGAAAAAAATTGTTTTATTTTTTTTCTAAAAGTTCAAAACCTTGAGCGGAGGGTTTGTAAAACCGAAAATAAAATAAATCCTGGCCTTAGATATGTAATTAGATCATTAGCATATTAACCAAGTGCAAAGGATAAGATGTTCAAAGAATTCATACATTTCACTATATAATCATTAGAGCCCCACCCTAAAACAAAAACCCCTGATCCTGGGGCCATAAAATCCACAATTTTGGTAGAGGCACTCTTGCTTATCATAACTATGTACTTAGTAAGTTTATTTAATACCCAGGAGCAGAGACGAAGATTTTCAAATAATTAATGTATTTTCACTATATAATCAATAGAGCCCCGCCCTAACACCAGAACCCCTGACCCTGGGGCCATAAAATTCACAATTTTGGTAGAGGCACTCTTGCTCATCATAACTATGTACTTAGTTGGTTTATTTGATACCCAGGAGCAGAGAAGAAGATTTTCAAAGAAATAATGCATTTTCACTACCTACTTATTTAGCCCCGCCCTACCACTAGAACCACTGACCCTGGGTCCATGAATTTCACAATTTTGGTAGAGGACTCATTGCTGATTACAATCATGCAAACAGTTTGACTGCTTGATGTCCAGGAGTAAAGAAGAAGATTTTTAAAGATTGCACTAATTTTAGTGGTTTTGGCCCCACCCCTCAGGCCCCAGGGGGGCAGGGATCATGAAATTCACAATTTTTGTCCCCCTTCACCCATAGATGCTTTGTACCAAATTTGGTTGAAATTGGTTGAGTGGTTGCAGAGAAGAAACTGAAAATGTTCAAATGTTAACGCACGACGAACGACGAACGACGCACGACGAACGACGACGGACGAAAACAGATAGCAATAGGTCACCTGAGTTTACTCAGGTGACCTAAAAAAGAAGAATTTTATAATTAATTTATTTCAGATTGAGGGATAGCTTACCTTTTGACATCGTTTAATATTATCACAGAACGTATTCATGTCGTGAATGCACTCATCTAATTTAAAACTTTTCTCTTTTTCACAGAAGTAACAAACAATTTGCTGTGTCAGTTCTGTTATTTTCTCTAAACTCTCATCTAATGAAGTCATTTCTTTTTCTGCTCCCTGTATATATTATCAACATTTTTAATCACTTCGTTTTAAGAATACCAGGCTGTTAGTCAACAGCAAAAGTTTGAATTAAAAACAAAAACCCTTTTTGCTTGCCTGTACAAATGTTTTAAGTTGATTATTGACGTCACTGGGACTCTTTTTCAGGCCTTTTTTCAGACCGTTAACCTTATCTTTTACTTCTTTAACCTCTGCTGCCAAAGAGTCCACAGTCAAACTTAAATTAAAAAATGAAAAATTTGAATGCAAATTATGATTTTAAATTTAAAATAAATGTTTAATAATGTTCACCACAGACAGACATGTTGATATGCTAGCATGATGATAAAATATATGCTTTGGATAAACGAAATTTATTTTCCCCTGTATTTCTTCTTGCAATTTATGCAATACTAAAAATTCTTAACAGCTTTATTATGAATTACATTATTGAACATATTTTTGACAAAGTCAAAAGGATCAGACACAAATTCATAAACTTAGATAGGTTTTAATATGTATTTAGCTTAAAAAAAACTAGATTAAATGAAACCTCTGATGACAGTATGACATACTTTGAGGCAATGGCCAAACTTGGAGTTATCTCCTCAACAAAAGCTAGAGCTTCCTTGTCTTCTTTTTCGGCCTCTTCAACGAGATAGTGCAAAAGAGTTACCCTGGGCTTTTTGGATCTTGTATCCATCAATTTATTTAAGGAATTTATCCGGAAACCCATCGCGTTGCCTGCATACCCACCCTTGTGAATTTTGAATGAAATAGTATATATACATAAGAAAATAAGTAAATAACTTTTTTTCAAGATGTTACTATTAAGAAGTGTTGGTAATTAATGAATTATATCACTGGATCAACGCAAAAAGCATGAAGTTCATAAGCAAAAAGCATCATTTTATCCTTTCATGTGTTAGAAAAATATTTTGAATTGTCTGAAATAAAAATTGTTGTCAAGAAAATACATTACTGCATTCATGAAATTTCCAGTATGTAGAACATAGCGTAGAAACACTTTGAGAGAATCATTTTCCAGAAGACATTTGCATGTTTTAATCACAGCACTGATATTTGGTAAAAGATTATCCATTGTGTCTCCGAAATCGCCCTTTAGAACAAGTCCGTCTATACGAATTCTGTAGGCTTGCAACTTGATGAGTTTTAAATAGAATTTCTCTGCATTCCCAAGTTTCTCTTTATCTCCCTCGAATTCTTCAAGCATACTAACCTTAAAGAAGAAATCGTATTTAAAAGATATATTTAAGAGCTTGACGCTTTGTTGTGTAATGTCAAGGCAAACAACCTCAGTATTTTCTAGGACTGCACTCGAAAACTTTCGCATTTATTACAGTTGTTCTTTTACAGACCCAGAACGAAGTTTCAGATTTTGGTCTTGGACTCTCTATATAATGTTAAGAAAGACTGTACAATTTTAAAAGAGATATATTATTGTTAAACTAGTTTAAGAAACACAAATATCAGCAATCTTGTTTAAAGTCACTATTTAGTAAGTTTCATGGTCGATACAATGGCCTTGTCAGCAAATACAATTTATCATTGATTGAAATGCTGACTGACGTTTTTCATACTTATTGTTAGTTCATTATTTACACCCATTGACAATTTTTTCGTTTTTTTCCCAATCATGACAAAGGATTGGCACCTGATTCCACCTCTGATGTTTTGGAAGACCGAGTTTGCTCTGCTCCTATTTTGTATTCTTTTATAGAACGTGAGCTAAAATACTGTTCATCTTCATATATTTCATTTGTTTAAAGGAATACGCACGCTAACTCTCGATTCCCGCCTACATTTTGGAGCCATTTAATTCAAAATGAATAGCAATTTGGTCATAAAATCTTTGTTTAATACAAAGAACAGTTCAATGGTAATTGAAGAATTGTCTCAATCGCTAAACAGTAAATTATCCATAATTCCAGCTCTTGAAAAAAGGGGGGTGATATTTTCCATTGAAATCGGAGTTTCAGGCATCACCATATTTTGAAATATTCTTGGATATGATTAAATGTTCCTTATATCTTTTCTTTTGTCTTAGTGGAAAATAACCATTTTTATGTTTATTGTCAATAAACTTATTTCCCCCCCGTGTCACACAAAAAGTTTTGGTAAGAATTTGTGAAATTTTAGAGTTATCTCTCTTTGTTTTCCCAAATAAGTAATGCTTTATGGAAATCCATATAATTATCTATAAAAAATATAAAAATTCATCAAATATGTTAGTTTTGAAAATTGACTTGGAGGTAGGCGGGAGAACAATGCTTCGTTCGCAGTTCTTACGTTACCTCTTCCTCCTTTGGAAGTATTTTCTGTAAACCTAGTAGACGCTCTTTGCCGATGACATCTACATCACCTGTCTTTATCATTGATACAATTTCTGTGTGGCTACACTTAAACTGCTTCAGAAAGATGTTTACATTCATACTTCGTTTTCCATCAAGAAGCAGTATCTGAAAGGGTGATTTTATATAACCATTTGTTCATTAGTTGTCTCTCGTAGAAAGAAAAAAGAGTAAATGGAGATACTTGAGAAAGAGAGAACTGGAAAATGTCTTTGAAAAAAGTGACAGAAACAAAGTATTTTGCAACAGGTATTTGATATTCTTTACAGTATTTGAAGATTTCCTTCTTTACCTTCACAGATATTAAATTGAACTTTAAAAAAATATGTATAACGATTGGTATGTGATCCCAGCTGTATAAATTTAACATGTACCTCTTTTGGAAGTTTAATTTTCTTTTCTTTCGTTTTTTGGATCTGCTTCCTGCAGAATTCCTGTTCCAAGGTTTCATGCTTTACAGGTACTTTATCTTCCATTTTCATAACTTGCTTCCAAACATTCCCTTTAGCTGAAAGTACAAGTAAAATGTATTCTAATGGAATTGCAAATTCAATACTTTTGAGCATGCATTCTTTCAAATAATGTGAGTCACAATAATTTTCATAAATAACAAAATCTCATTAAAGGTCTCCAAAATTATACAATGTAGTAATTAACCTTGGAATAAAAATATAGTCTAATAATACCATATGCACATTAACACCAATGTATTTCAATTTTAATTCTAGAATAAATAACATAACTATCAGTAAATTGTGTTGATATGTACACATACATGAAATACTACGAGCTGGTATCTTTGTCCAGTTGATTGTTTTCAATTTGCGTTTTGGAGTGTGAGTACACACAGTGCAGGATCCTTGGGAGTTTGTAGCTGAAAGTGAAGGAGGCCACTACCACACCTAGGAGGTGGGTGGTGGAGGTCCAGTGGTGGGGGTGGCCAAATCCTGGCGGTGGTGGTGGAGGTGGCGGTGATAAACCTGGTGGAGGGGGTGGTGGTGGAGGCCCTAATCCTGGCGGTGGTGGTGGTGGAGGTGGTGCTGGCGGAGGTGGTGCGGGTGGTGAATGAGGAGGAGGTGGCGCCGAATTTTCTGTTTGTGAAATGTTTTTTCCACATAGAACACATTTATTGCCAAGCATTGAATCCATCACAAAAGCTTTCTTAACTGATTTTTCAATCAGTGTCCAGCGGTTGTCACTGAAATCAAGTTTTGATTAATTTTTGAAAAATTGCTATGATGGTAAGTGATGGTAAACTTTTTGTATATTTTTTTTTTGACAAGGAGAGATATATAGGCAAAATTAAGCAATTCACATATTACATGAAAGAAAACCTCCTTCTGAATGTAGCATTAGGAAGTATATGTTGATTTACTTGATTGTAGAAAACACTTTTCATTTTAAATATACACATACATGTAACAAATGAAATGCCTGCAAAGGTTTTCAAAAATATAAGGTCAGACAAATCAAAAATATATACATTTTCCTAAGAATTTGTCATTGAAGTATGGGCATTTAATCATGTTTCCTAGGAGAATTTGTAACATACTCAGAAGCATTTCATACCATAGGGTCATATTTCTGTATAATCCTTATGGGTAATCTTCTGAATGACCTATATTACAATTTTTGGTGTACTTATATTTAAAAACATTTTGAAAACAATGTAGAAATGAAAAGAGAATGACCTCCTTATGAATGTAGCATTAGGAAGTATATGTTGATTTTTGATTGTAGAAAACATTCTATTATATATTTTATATATCTATTATATATATTAACATATTAACTTACAAAATGCAATATCACAAATGAAATTTCATTATGAAACACAAAAAATTTTCTCTCATAAGAATGGTATAAAGGAAAAGTTTGATACCCAGTGGAACAGATGGAATCTGCTATTCTCTTAACTTGAATCTTTACACACTCTCTTTCTCTTCTCTCTCTCTCTCTCTCTCTGCTCTCCCTTCTATCTTTCTCTCTATTGTTTAAAAATTTCAAATAAAAAAAACACATGAAATAATTTTTCTTTTGAAATATGTATATAATGCTGTATGTTGTGTGAATATTATAAAAAAAAAAAAAAAAAAAAAAATGTAAAGAGAATGACAAATATGAATAATTTTTATATAATACCAAGAGATACAAAACATATATTTGAGGAACTCAGTTTCTGACCTTAAGCAAAACAAAGAAAAAATTCTTTACTTACCTAAGTAGTATTTGGTATATGTTTGTAGAAGAGTTTGTAAAATACTCAGAAGCATTTCAGCCAGTGGTGTATTGTAAAAAATTAGATACCATAATATTTTCAGTTGGTAGAGAAATATTTATATAAACGTATTACCATTTTGATCCCATATTTCCTATGCTCTCAAATTTCAGTGCATTGTTCAAGCTGAAATTCTAAACTTGAGTATATTGAACCTTTGAATCCTTTGCCAGCTTATGCCAAAAAGCACAGAGGGTATGCTTACTCCTTTTTGGCACCAGATCCAAACTCTGATATTTTAAGATGCTCAAGTTTGCTTGGCTTTGCTTTCAACATGTATTGTTTCAATAGATCTTTCAACTTTATAACTCTTCGTTATTTTTATAGATCATTGTAATAAGCAATTTGATTGAAAACTTTACTCGCTACAGGTACATGTACCTTACATGCATTTTCATAATGAAATGTTTCTGAGGAAAAAATATAAATTTTAATTTTTTTTTAAATAAAAAGTTTTTTTTTTTAATAAAATCTGCTAATCTAAGTTGCGTGCTAATTCTTCTGCGTGATATACATGTAAATAGTCTTTACATAGAATTTTTATTCCAAGAAAACAATTAGAAGAACCATTTTTAAATGAAGGAATCATACCTTATCACAGAGAACATTGAACACCTCTTTGATATTGTTTATGTCAATTCCAGCTGGATTCAAAGCCGCCATTGCTTCGTCATCTGAGGCCTTCTCGTCGTCAAAAACATCACATTGAATGATCGTTTTCTCGTTGTCTTCGTTTCGCAAATCATTGATAACATCGAGAAGGTTTAAGCCTACGAATTTAAATAGGCAATCATGAAGTTTATTTTCAATTTATTTTGTCTTTGCCAAAGAAAAATAACCCTATTCGGTAGTTTACGTAATTGATAATTATTTCATTAATTTACAGTAAAATTAATTTCTTGAAGGTATAAAAAAAGCATTTACAGTAAAATTAATTTCTTGAAGGTATAAAAAAGTAAAAGCACTCTAGGACACACGATGCAAAAAATATGAACATTGTGGATAGTTGAGAAATATTTTAAAAGTGAGTAAATGATTACATAAGTTATGTTCTTTAAGTAAAATAAGATAACAGTTAACTGAATGTCATAGCATCATGCTGTGTTATGTCACAAAAAAAGAAATAATGGAAGATTATTTTACCAATAAATTCATTGCGGATGCTCACTCTATCCTCCAATTTTTTATTAGCCACAATGACACAATTGACAAAAGCCATCAATGTGGTTTTGTAAGGAACAAAGTCTTCCTTTTTCAATTCATTTACGACCACACTAAATCGGTATCTTTGCTTTTTCATTATCTTGAAAATAAATAATGGCTAATAGCATTCTTTTAACATTCATTTAAAGAAATAAAGTAATTGACAAATCAATCAAATACGAAATAAGTAATTATTATTTGTAAAACAACTTTCAAATTTTCTCACATGATTTATGTTCATGTAAGTTTCAGACATTTAAATTGATTAAAAAAAACTGTTCAACATTTCAAAAAATATTGTTACGTAGTTTAATTTATGCAAGTAACTCATTTATTTTCATTTTCCAGTTTTAACAGTGCATTGAGGTATTTAATTCTCTTCATTTTGAAATATTTGTTTTAAAAACAGGAAAAAAATCAAAAATCCATAAAGCAGATAGCATAGAAAGTTGATATACCTTATAGCTGTCCAGGGCATTCATTGCTATATTGTATCCTTCTATTGAATATATACACAATGCTGAAAGTAGCTCAAATACTTGCTTTTTAACCATAGCATGGCTAGTGTCCAATGCTTGAAAAGAAAGAAAAAATAAATTAAAAAAAAATACGACAATGAAAAAATAAACAATATGTACATGTACTTCAGACTTTAACAAAGCATATTTTTAATATATAATTCATTAGATACAATACGGCTTAAAGTTTTATAATTATCAGATGTCAAATAAAAGACCTGAATTACACGAAATTTAATATAAGTGATGAGGTATCAAGTCCAATAATTTTATCATGATAGCAAGGTAGAAACAAATGCGTTAAAATTTTATCACCTTTTTTCATAAATAATTATACCTTTGACAAGCTTCTTCGTGTAGTTTCCATTCTGGACAAAGAAAGATAACCCCTGCTTAGAATTGACCAATTTCATAACACAAACAACACATTCCAAAAGCCGTACAGCTTCTGCAAATTTTGTAACTCTCCGGTTTCCGATAACGTCGATGACATCCAACAAGGCATCCAGTCCGCCTGAATTCAGAAATTCTTCCGTCCAATTTTTATCCAATTTCTTTATTCTGTTTTTAAGAGCAGACAAAGCTGTTAGCGATGGATCCCTCAGAAAATTTACACATACCTCAGGGTCGAGCTGATCAAAACGTTTACGTATCTGACAGATTACCTTTTTCACCACTTTTCGGAATTTCTCGTTTCGGGATTCTTCTTGTACATTTTCCTCCTCAGACGATGACGACGACAAAGACGATGGCGATGATTTATCATCTAATGTTTTCCTTTTATCATCCATTTTACTTATCCATGTCACGCTAGACTGGAACTGGTTTCGCTTTTGTCAGTGAAATAACTTTTGTGTGCCTGAACTTAAACATAAAAAAAAATAGATTCCTTGTAACAACTTAATATTACATAAATGATATTTTTGTGCAGTCTATTTTTATAATCTACTCGTCCATCACAATTTCTAAAATTCAGTTTTATTTTTAGCATACTTGATTCGACGGGCCACGGGCTATGGAGTGTTTATATATATTTAAATGTTTACTTGCACATCTACACACTGTATCAAAACATGAAGCTTTAAATCTGACCTTCACCTTCATGTATATATATTTACAACTCATAAATTTATACGTTCTTAAAGATGCCGGGAAGTCTTATTTTACATGCACTTCAAGTATACTACTTAAGGTTGTTTATTTTTGAAGGATTTTAAGGGTTTGGGATTATTTGGTTTTTCTATATCTTTATTTATTATTTATAATAAAAATATTTCCCCGACGTCTTTAAAAGTTATGAATTATTAAAGGTATAATTTTAGTTCCATATAGGTTTTGGAGACGAAGAGAAATACACGTATATGTGTTTAAAAATGTTTAAAACAATAATTCTTAGGCCTTTTATTAAGTTCTAGAGCACATGCCGAGAAATTTTAAGATTATCGACGAAATTCAAGATATCGTATTAATAAGCGGGCATATCGGTTTTACTTATCATGTCTAGTTTAACATCTTTTTTCCTTCATCACTCTAAATTAAAAGTAAATTTGAAAATAATTTATACTTCGGGATTAATCGTTATAACGGAAGCGGAAAAAGAAAAGATTACTTGTTGTGCGTTTGAAAGATGCAACATTTTGTTAATTGTGTATGATCTACATTGATGGATTTTACCACTTTTTCCTTATTTTAACGAAAATTAAATTACTTACCTACATTTAATTTTACCACCGTAAACATATCAAGTGTTCTGTGTGTTTTTTCATACTTGAAATGGTTTCCTTGCTTGAACAAAAGATAATTTGATAATTCTCTCTTAATGCATTCGATTTTCTGAAACATATAACTTTATTCAAATCTGTATCAACAAGTCCTGTTTACACTATTGTATGAATCTGCTCATATAGTCCGTCAAGTTACAAGTTATTATACATTACTGAATCGATTTATGTAAGATGAATCACTTGTATCTGTATAACATACAAGTAATATACATCCGCATATAAGATCTGAAGAAAAAAATATTAACATAATTTGCTATAACATTTAAAAGAAAACAATATAACAGGAGCTGGAAATAAAAGTAAAATTGAATACATTAAGTTAGTAAACTACTTGTTGCATAATGTCTATCTGTATTATAGAAATTTTGTTGCATGAGGAAATTTAAAACGATATCATTAACATTTCCGGATGATTTTATGACAAGAGATTTATTTTCAGAATATAATTTCCTTAAGTATTTTATTTATTTATAAGAAGAACGGAGGCCAAAAAAAAAAAAAAAAAATCAACGTCTTTCTATTTTAAAACAAAAGATGAGGGATGTGAATTTTAAGATGTAAATGTTAATCTACAGACTTTCAAGGGCCTTCATCTTATTACTGAATTTGTTTACAAAATGTTTCAACTGGATGGGCTTTTGACCACTGACAGAAGATATTTCTTCCTCCTAAGCATGTGGTTTTTACGAGGGTCTAAGTTTATACCTTGTAAATACATTCATTTTTGAATTGTTTATAGAATTTTTTTTTATAAATCTATCACTATTGATTTTCTTCTTTTTTTTTTCAAAGTAATTACCTAGGACATTAATAGCAAACCAATAATATACAATTTTTGTTGTTTTTGAGGTCAATACATTGATTTAGCTATCTGAGGAGTACAATATTCACCGAGCCCGAAGGGCGAGGTGAATATTGTACTTCGAAGATGGCTAAATCAATGTATTGATCAAAAAACAGCAATAATTGTTTTATATGATTCACTGATAAAATGATAAGCTCATTACTTGTTTGCATTTAATTAAGTCCTAGCCAAATACAAGAGAGAGACAGAATTAAAATGTAAATAAACCTTACTAGTCGTATCAATTGGAAATGTTTTTTTTAATCAATTTTAGTTGCCATGAAGAAAATATATAATGTCAGTCTCTTTTATAGGATAGATTTTGAAAGGAAGGTGTATTATTAGGGAGAACTGACTGCCAAAAACCAAAAAAATTTGTTCGGTAAAAGTGTTGGAGGGGGTCCCTGCATCCCCTCTTACCACCCTTACCCGAAAATATATATTCGCTTATGTTTTGTTCACATGAAAAAAGTCATAGTCGTTTAAATAGCTTCCCAAAACAATTTGTATCAATTTGGAATTTCCCGATCTATTTTTAGATCAATGTAGAGGAAATAAATCCTTGTATTCACCTGGAACGTCACGTGCAGGTCAATACAACGTACTAGTATTTTTCTAACATAGTTGGACTTCAGCCAATCAGAGAGATGGAAATTATTCAATCATATAATAAAAGACATTATTACAAATGGATATAATTATAAATGGAAACAAGAAACATGTATATTCAATTTTATGATAGTATAAAATTCCCAAGTACTTTTTTCTTTCAAATATACATCGCAGTTTTTTTTTTCTAATTATGGAAAACAAAAATACAGTATAATAACGTCAATGGAAAACCGAAAAAAAAATATTTACACTGTAGTCAAAGTGTCCTGTAGTCATAGTGTTAGTGTCATTTTAAGTGTGTATATGTAGAGACTGTGTCAAGAAATGTTAATTGTAGAACACTGACACTTCAAGATAAATCAGGCTGTATATTTGTTTTCAAATTAAGTTAACGATAAAGTCGATTTAAAATTATCAATTATAAAATTTCGCAAAATAAAATTGTTCAACTCACGTCTACATTTTGGTTTGCTTTTTGACCTCTTACTATTCAATATCCGAAAAGTTTATACGAACATTATATTTATTTATACTTCGAGAGAATAAAATAAAAAATCTCATTAGTCACTTAAATAAAATGGGTTGTCCAAAAATGAGCTGAATTACATTTGAAATTAGACCCGACGAAGACCTGAAAACACCCAACTAAACATACATACATGTAGCATCATATCAATACTAGAATTGTTAAAATCCCAGCATATGGCAGAGAAAATTGTTTAGAGATATGAATTCTGAATATTGAATTATCTTTAATATTCGATGAACAGGCTGTGTGTATCTCTATAATCCAGATGTAGAGCACATAATTATAAGAAGCGTAATTGTCTAGAATTTTTTGTCCTTAGAATTCTGTTTGCTCTGCTCCTATTTTATATTGTTTTATTGACTTATGATCTTAAATTCCGTTCGTTATCTCCATATGTTCATAAAAGTTTAAAACATTTGTGTGTTTGTTCGGAGTTTAAAAAAAAATATTTTAAATTCACAAATATATATTGAACATATCGGATACACTTACTTATATGGAAGGCAATGTACAACACGAGACGATATTTTCGTCACACTACCTTATATGGAAGGCAATGTACAACACATGACGATGTTTTCGTCACACTGCCTTATATGGAAGGCAATATACAACACTAGACGATGTTTTCGTCACACTCGTTCTAACAGAAATATTGAAACAGATTGACAAAGTGATTACTAGAGGATGACACCTGCATATTCTTGTCGGGCTCTGATAATGAGCTCATTTGTTCATTTATCAACACAGAATGCCTGATATTTACCCAAAAGACAATGTTCACTTGCAAAAGCAATGTTCAAAAACTTAGTGACCAAAAATCACAAGTATTTGCTTGTTTTAGGAAAGTAAAATAATATTTTTTGATTTTTTAAAACAATAAATGTCTTTGCCGTGATTATTGAAGTGATTTAAAAAAAAAAAAACTTAAGAATCCAATTTATTTTTAGTCTGCATGGAAGGACAGGTTTCTTACTTTAGAACATTAACATTTCAACACATTTTCTTTTCCCCAAATAGTCATTCACTCTTAATTAACGACACTAACTTTTCACGAAATATTATTAATGAACCACATAATTTTATATACTAATGTACAATAGAATGAATTTTCGCTTGCACACAGTTTCTCTGAATTACATCAAAATAAAGTTGTCGTGAATAAAGGTGCTTTCAAACATATCCTAACAGTATAAAACATGCAAAGAATTATAAATGGGTTCTTAATATGAGTTCTACTAAAAAGGCCCTTTCACATAAATCGGCTGAAAGGTATATTACATACAACTATATTTATAAATGTGACTCTTTGATTTCAGGAAGCTATAAACCCTTTAAAAATTATACTTTGTAAGGGACTTTAAACAAAATAATATAAATTTCTACATACTGACTTTATATAATTCTGTTTCAACGTATAGCTTGGGTATTGGCCTTTTTTCTATGATATTTTTTCTTCAAAACATTGAACAGTGAATAAAAAAAAACGATGTTGCTTACCTTTATGGCATTAATAGTGTTTTCATTAACTTAATCTTTGTCCAATGTAATGTAAAGAATAATCGAATCAATTCACTGCAAATTTTCTTCACTTCCACTTTTCCCAAATGGTATATCCCATTTACTGCATAAAACTTCCCCTCTGAGGACAGAATTTATAGATATCATAGGTAACCTTCCCTATACTAAATGAGATTTGACACAAACATAATTTAGTTCTCCTGTATTCCCTCATAAGGCTTTTCAAACTTTTTTCTATAAAAAAGATGTTTACATGCACAACATACTTTCTGGCCACAGCGGTTTGAATTTAATTACTGTGTAATTTATATTGTGTGACCGGTCAACAGGGGATGCTTACTTCTCCTTAGCACCCGATCCCACATTTGGAATTTCCACGAGTCAGTGTATGAATCGTTTTCCATATATTGTTTGGAAATTATATCAGTATCTTTATTTTCATAGTTCATGCATTGTAGTTTTGAAAAAAAGAATAACTATTATTCTACCACGATTATTGCCAAGATAAAAGAAAAACCGTGGACATTATTCTTCAATAAATCACGAATGTCATCAAAAATTTATCAGATCAGAAACACGTATAAAACCTGAACAATTCAAATGCATGTTTGGCTGTAGCATGAAATACTTGTTTGTTTACACCACATCAATGTGTCGTCTTTGTACTGTAAATTGCATCAAGTTGCTGATAAATGTCGGTTTTCATAGCTAAGCAGGGCTATTCCACGAACCTTCCTACACATTTAAACACATGATTTTAGTCCCTAGAGCAGTAAAACAGGAACACAACTTTGTTATTGTATATTCATTATAACTAATCAATATATATTACGAACAAATTTGTAATCTAAAAAGCTATTTTAAATGCAACGTAAGCTCAAATCGTCTGCATTCCATACACAGGTACATGTAAGCAAACAAATTTCCCCGCTGGCGTAAAATGGAACAGCGTAATCGAGACATGGCGACGTAATTCATTTCTCTATAAAGGAAACGAAGCGATTTTAGTAGATATGGTAGAATAGAAATAAAGTCCTTGTTGTCGTGAATGATACACGATAACCTCCTTGGTCTCAAAATGTTGTTTGAAATATAAAAGCCTCGGCTTTCAAACAATATTTCGAAACCAAGGAGGTTATCCTGCAACATTCAAGAAAACGCGGACTTTATTTCTTAAACAGATGCCTTGTGGCAGGTTTAATTGAATGTATACCAGGCATTATTAATAGGATATTCTTAAATGCTATCTATTTACATGTATGAAAAACATAAAACAGAAAATGATGAAATCAATGGGTTTTATTCACTCTTGTGATACACATACTGTAAGTCATTTTAATTTCTTGGCGTTAAAATTTTACGACATTTCAAAAAGAACCAATTGCGATGGTTTTAATTTCATGCTGCAAGAAATGAATTCTGTAGAAGCATTTAAACGTTTCTAAGAACAAGTAATAGAATTCACGATGGGTTTAATTTAGCGGAAAAATGATAAATCGCGAACAAAGCAAAATTAAAACCATCGTGTATATTTGCCAGTCTACAGTATACATAAGCTCCTCTAATCTAATGCATTAGTATGCTTTTGCTGTTAATATTTCTATCAACATGATCAATATACAGTGTTCTTAAGATACAAATTTAATCAGTTCTATTGGAGTGGAAGTATAACAACCCTAGAATTAAACAATTTTAACAAGAAAAAATAACGTACCTCCAACTATAGACACTTAGAAGAAAAAAATTAAAAGATATACTCCGATTGCATAATTTTATACTTATACATTGAAATGCAGAATCACACAGGTAATAATTCAATACTTATTTATTTAACAAAACAAACAACGAGATATGTATTCTGAAGACTAATTAAAATGTCTTTTCTCACAAACCTTTTTTCACCTCATACATATAAAGTTGAAGAGGCACTGTACTCGTCTTAGTACACTGCTTAATTTACTAATACCCTCCCACCTGTCACATTTATCAAAAGTCCCTTCCCACCTACAAGTCACATTTAGCAAACATATATGACACATATATTTTCACCTTCATTATATGTCATAATGTGCCATTATCCTACATCCCTTCACCCAGTCCCATTTATCCCAAGCCCCTCTCATCTATGCTCCATTTATCCCAAGTCCTTTTCTTCACATTTATCCAAAATCCCTCTTTCATATGTCCCATTTATCCAAAACCCTTCTTTTATATGTCCCATTTATCCAAAATCCTTCTTTTATATGCCCCATTTATCAAAAGTCCGTCTTTCATATGTCCAATTTATCAAAATTCGCTCTTTCGTATGTCCCATTTATCTAAAGTCCCCTTTTCATATGTCATATCTATCAAAGGTCCTTCATTCATATGTCACAATTATCCAATATTCCTCTTTCATTAGTCACATTTATCAAGCAATTATGCAAAGTCCCTCTCACATTTGTCAGATTTGTGCAAAGTGTCTCCCATATATAACTTGTCTTGGAATCGGAATGTTTCATTGCTGATTACATTCCTCGTAATGTTTGATAAAATCCGGAGTTAGAATACATACTATATTTTTATGGTAATCCTAAAATCCTCTCGTTTATTTCTAGAATATCTCGAACACAAATTGCAATTATAATCCCTATTTGTCATCATTGACTTCCGATACTTTCTGATTGGTTGAAAATTCTTCTACATATACATTATACATCATACATCATATATGTGAGGTTCGTCAGCAGAGTGAAGCTTAATGCCTGTGCAAGATACTTTAACAGCTGAAGGTGGTCCCAAACACATTTTATTTAAAAGGGTTTACATCTAATGATGAAACATATGGAAATAACAAATAGTATTCAAGATTAAAAGTCTATAAACAATACAAAATAGAAGCACAGGAAACACGAACGCCCAAAGCAATAGATCTAGAGGTGGGATCATGTTCCATGAACGAGAGAGCATCCCCTGCCGGCCAGTCATTTGACTCTAGTATCTTATACAGAGAATGCCTCCAACTCATGATCACATATCCCATTCCTAAGGTTCGCCAACTGAATGTATCCTTCGTGTACCGGTACGTTACCGGATAGATTGAATGGCTTCCCAAACATCACATTCATAAAGTTTTTAACCTGTACGTCATTATGTCTTCAAAAGTGACTGTAATTTACCAATTGTTTGAATGCCTGTTCACATGCATCGCATGTATAAAGTTCTCATGCGTTCGTGTCCTCATGTGTTTATTTAAATGTGCTTTTTCACCAAATGCTTTCTTACACGGACCACATATATAAGGTTTATCACCGGTATGTATCCTACGATGTTTTTTTAAGTTACCTGAACTATAAAATGACTTTCCACATACATCACACTTATGAGGATTATCATAAGTGTGTGTCCTCATGTGATTCTTATAGCTTTGTGAATGGCTATATGCCTTCCAACATACATCACATTTATAAGGTTTTTCACCTGTATGAGTCCTCATGTGTGTGTGTAAGGTACTTAACTTGTAGGTTTCCTTCCCACAAAAATCACATTTATAAGGATTATCACCAGTATGTGTGCTCATGTGTGCCTGTAAGGCATTTGATCGAGTGAACGCCTTCACACATATACTGCATTTATAAGGTTTATCACCTGTGTGTATCAGCTTATGTTTCTTTAAAATACTTGATTGGTTGAATGCCTTCCCACAAACATCACATGTATAAGGTTTATCCCCTGTGTGTATCAGCACATGTGTCTGTAAGTCACCTGACCGACTGAATGCCTTTCCACACACTTCACATTTATAAGGTTTTTCACCTGTATGTGTTCTCATGTGTGTCTGTAAGGTACTTGAATCGTAGAATGCCTTTCCACACACATCGCATCTATAAGGCTTATCACCTGTATGTGTTCTCATGTGTCTCTGTAAGTGGTGTGAGAGGTTGAATGCCTTTCCACACACATCACATGTATAAGGTTTTTCACCTGTATGTGTCCTCATGTGTATTTGCAAGGCAATTAATCTGATGAATTCTTTTCCACACACATCACATTTAAAAGGTTTATCATCTTTGTGTATCAGCACATGTTTCTTTAAGTGACTTGAGTGGCTGAATACCTTTCTACACACATAACATTTATATAGTTTATCACCTGTGTGTCTCCTCATGTGTTTCTGTAAGTCACTTGACAGTTTTGATACCTTTCCACAAAAATCACATTGGAAAGGTTTATCACCTGTATGTGTCCTCATGTGACTCTGTAAGTGATGTGAGTGTGGAAATGCCTTCCCACATACATCACATTTATAAGGTTTATTACCTGTATTTGTCCTCGTGTGTCTCTCTAAGTCACACTGCTGTTCGAATGTCTTTCCATACACATCACATTTATTAGGTTCACCACCTCTATGTATCCTCGCATGTCTCCATAACTGATATGGATGATCAAATGTTTTCCTACAAATGTTACATTCCCTAGGCCATTTACTTTCACAAATATTTGTGGATGGTTCAGATTTCCCAAATTCATTTTCATTTACTCTATAGTTGAACTACACAGGATGACTCTCTGATCTGGGTGCAAAATCTGCCTTTTCTTGCTGTAAATGTGAGAGAGAAATCAATTTAATGCTATTTCAAGATATTTATCTAGAAGATATCGAGAGACTTGGGGTCACATCGTTCACCTTAATAACTATTGCCATGCTGTTATTTCATCAGATCCTCCCCCCCCCCCTTGTTATACCTATTGTGGCCCACTTTCAGAGGACATGATTAATTGAATGTATACCTGGCATTATTTATAGGAAATTGTAAAATGTTATCTATTAACAATGACATGTATGAAAAACATAGACAGAAAGAATGATATCAACGGGTTTTATTCACTCTTGTGATACATATATACATAAGCTTCTCAAATCTAATGCATTTATATTCTTTGCTGTTAATACTTTTATCAACAAGATCAATATATTGTTCTTAAGAAACAAATTTTATTTGTTTTACTTGAGTGAGAGTAGAACAACCCTAGAATTAAACAATTTAGACACAAGAAAAAATGAAGTTCCTCCAACTAGAGACACATAGAAGAAATAAAATTGAAAAAGATATACTCAGATTGCATAATTTTATACTTATACATTGAAATGCAGAATCACACAGGTAATAATTCAAAATATATATATTTATCTAACAAAACAAACAATGAGATATGTCTTCTGAAGACTATTAAAATGTCTTTTCTCACTTATCTTTTTTCACCTCGTACATATCACATTGAAGAGGCATTGTACAGGTCTAAGTTCACTGCTTAATTTACTTATACCCTCCCACGTGTCACATTTATCATAAGTCCCTTCCCATTGACAATTCACATTTAGCTAACATACATGTATATAGGACACATATATGCTCACAGGTCCTCCAACATATGTGCCATTTATCCTACATCCCTTTACCCAGTGACATTTATCCCAATTCCCTCTCTTCACATTTATCAAAAGTTCCTCTTTCGTGTGTCCCATTTATCAAAAGTCCCTCTTTTATATGTCCCATTTATCCAAAGTTCCTTTTTTACATGTCATAATTATCAAAAGTCCCTTTCATATGTCGAAATTATCCAATATCCCCCTTTCATATGTCACATTTATCCAAAATCACTCCTACATACAAAGCGATTATGCAAAATCCCTCTCACAAATGTCAGATTTATACAAAGTCCCTCCAATATATAACTTGTCTTGCAATTGGAATGTTTCATTGCCGATTACATGCCTCGTTATGTTTGATAAAATCTGGAGTTAGAATACATACTTTATTTATATGGTAAGGCCATCCTTAAAAAATTGTTTTTTTGCGGTAACGCGACCGACTCACCAAAATCCACCCGACTGGATTTTTGTTCATCGGTTCAAAAATCTTTTTTTTTTTTTTTACGTATCCATTTTCCGTTTTTATCCGAATGATATTTTGTTTTAAGTTTCGGTTACACTGACGCTTTATCTTTCCCCAAAGTACTATTAAAACGTCTTTGTCATCTACAAATTTAAAGATGGCGTCCGAGAAAATTGCGGGAAATATTGACTCTATAGTTCTGTCAGTTACAGTAAATTTTCAAGGAAAAACATCTTAATTACTAGGCAAAAAAATATTGTTCGTCAGTTCCACCTTACAGATACATGGTATGATGTTTATGACATCGCCACAAAATTGGTGGCAGACAAAATTACACGTGGGATGATTGCGGATTTGCAGCTAATTAATAAACTATCAAAATCTTAAAACTTGTTAATATCACAACCCCCCCCCAACCCCCGAAACACTAGATTAGTGTTGAATCAGTTATTTGAGGTACGTGACTGATGAGAGTCACTTTCTTGGGAAAAGTTTGCCTAAAAAGAACTGATGTGTTCTGATAAATAAAAGATTGAATTCATTTAGAATGCTTTAATTTTCCTGTTTGATAAGTAAGATGAAAATTGAGACATAGTTAATACCTTTATATTAACTATACCATATATTTATATACCACCGGAATTTATATCTGACATTCTATCTAAAAAAAAAAAACCCTGCCTACCTACTCACACCTAAAATGATGAGGCGCGTTACCGCAAAAAATATTTTTTTAAAGATGGCCTAATCCTCAAATGTACTCATTTATTTCTAGAATATCTCGAACATAAATTGCAATAATAACCTTTATTTATTCTCATTGACCTCCGATATTGTTTTAATTAGTTTAAAGTCCTTCCACATATTCATTTCTCATCATATTTATGAGGTTCATGAAGAGAGTGAATCTTAATGTCTAAGCAAGGTGCTTGAACAATTCAAGTGGATCCCAAAAACATTATACTTATAAGGTTTTTCACCTCATGATGAAACATATGGAAATAACAATTATTACTCAAGTTTATAAAACAATACACAATAGGAGCACAGGCAACATGAACGTCCAAAACATAAGAGGTGGAATCAGGTGCCATGGAGGAGTGAACATCCTCTGCCGTCTGCCATGTGTTTCTAGTCTCTTACACGGAGAATGCCTTCCCACTCACATATCATATTCCTAAGGTTTGTCATCTGAATGTATCCTTTCATGAACCCGTACGTTACTTGATTGGTTGAATGCCTTTCAAAACTCACCACATTCATCAAGTCTATAACCTGTACGTGTTCTCATATGTGACTCCAAGTTACCTAATTGTGTGAATGCCCTTTCACATACATCATATTTATAAAGTTCTAATCTGTATGTGTCCTCATGTGTTTATTCAAATCCCCTTTTTCACCAAATGCTTTCTTACACAAACCACATATGTAAGGTTTTTCACCAGTGTGTATCCTACGATGTCTTTTGAAGTGACTTGAAAAAGGAAATGACTTTCCACATACATCACACAAATGAGGATTAACATAAGTACATGTATGTGTCCTCATGTGACTCACACAGTTTTGTGAATGGCTGAACGCCTTCCCACAAACATCACATTCATAAGGTTTTTCACCTGTGTGTGTCCTCATGTGTCTTTGTAAGTGGTATGAGAGGTTGAATACCTTTCCACACACATCACATTTATACGGTTTATCACCTGTGTGTATCCTCATGTGTCTCTGTAAGTCACTTGACCGGTTGAATGCCTTTCCACACACATCACATCCATAAGGTTTAATACCCGTGTGTATCAGCACATGTGACTGTAAGCTACTTGAAACATTGAATGCCTTTCCACACACATCACATTTATAAGGTTTATCACCTGTATGTATCCTCATGTGTCTCTGTAAGTCACTTGACCGGTTGAATGCTTTTCCACACACAACACAACTATATGGCCTTTCACCTGTATGTGTTCTCATGTGTCTTTGTAAGTGATATGAGAGGTTGAATACTTTTCCACACACATCACATTTGTACGGTTCATCACCTGTATGTTTCCTCATGTGTATTTGCAAGGCATTTAATCTGAAGAATGCTTTCCCACACACATCACATTTAAAGGGTTTATCACCTTTATGTATCATCACATGTCTCTGTAAGTTACTTGACTGAATGAATGCCTTCCCACACACATCACATTTATAAGGTTTATCACCTGTATGTATCCTCATGTGTTTTTGTAAGTCACTTGATCGTTTGGATACCTTTCCGCACACATCACATTGAAAATGTTCACCACCTCTATGTATCCTTGTGTGTATCCATAACTGATGTGGATCATTAAATGTTTTCTCACAGATGTTACATTCACTGGGCCATTTACTTTCAAAAGTATTTAAGGATTGTTCAAAATTTCCAAACTCATTTCCGTTTACACTATAGTTTAACTTCACAGTATCTCTTTCTGATGTGGATGCACAATCTGCCTTCCTTTTCTGTAAATGTGACAGAGAAATCATTTTAAAGAGGCTGGGTGGTCGTGGCGATTTTTAGACTTTTTTGATCTCCATTAGAAGAAGAGCTTCAAATAAAGATATGATAAAATGATCAAACTTTAAAGCTAAAATTTATGAAATTTTTCTTTGCCAAATGATAGTTGACAGCTTAAGATTGATTGATTGATTGAATACTGTTTTACATCCCTCTCCAGAATATTTCACTGATATGGAGACGTCACCATTGCCGGTGAAGGACTGCATATTTAGGCCTTTGCTCGGCACTCAGGGCCTTTGAGCAGGGAGGGATCATTATCGTGCCACACCTCGGGGCCTCGGTTTATACAGTCTCATCCGAAGGACCGCCCCATTTAGTCGCCTTTTACGACAAGCAAGGGGGTACTCAGGACCTATTCTAACCTGGATCCCCACGGGGTGACAGCTTAAGATATCATATCCCAAAGTTTGAGTTAAATCTGGTGGTTAATTAAAAATTATTTACATTGTAGTTGACCCACTAGCCTCCTTAATGCTATTTCAAGGTATTTATCTGGAAGATATCAAAAGACCTAGGTTTACATCGTTCACCTGAATAACTATGGCCGCCCACACCTCTTCCAGGGTGTCATTATTTGAAAAATTTAGAATCTTCTCTACACTTGGATGATTCCACATGTTTTAAAAAATGAATGTAATATTTTTTTCTTTGATTGATGTATCAAAGAAAAATTTTGACGGAAAACTTCATCAAAGCGCATAGCACATTGATGAAAAAGTTTTCCGTCCAAATTTTTCTTTGATATATCAATTAAAGAAAAAAAAATATTACATTCATTTCTTATCATTTAATTATGATTTTAAATTAATAAAATGAAAATTTCTTTCACTTCTCTATTAAATTTTTGCATCAAAAACAGTGCGCACGAATACATCACCAAAACATTAACCTTGCTGAAAATTCAAAATGGCTCTAGCCATGCTATCTAAAAATGTTCTCAAATATTGTTGTGTGATTACCAACATTCTCTGAAATAATTTACAGTTCTTTAAAACAAAAAAAAATTACCTGTTGTGTTATTGTATATTTCCCCCGCTACGTTATTAAGTTCGTAAATGTAATGGGGAGCTACATGTAGTACTCAAATATCCTAACAGTTCTAGGTCAGAGAAAATTTGGATTTCATTTGCGCATCTTTTCACCTGAATTTCAAACCAAATATATAAACAGGTATCACAACCTGTCAACATGGTCTACGCTGTAAAGCCTGTAAGATTCTGCTGCCGACAGTTCAAGATTAAAAGAATTCCTTCCTCATTCATGCAGTGTCGTTTTTCTCGATCAATCGTTTTCCATGATCTAACAGAAATACAGTTTTCCCCGCTTTGGTAGCATTTTAATTAAAAATATTGTTTCAGAGTTCCATTGTTTCACACAAGATATCTCAAAGTCAAACATTTTAAAAAGTATGCCCATCAAGCGATTTCTTCCCTTCTTTTCCAAAACTGTTTTGTCGTCATGCAGACGATTATAGTTGTTTAGCAATGGAGGATAATTCAAAATGAAACGAAAGTAGAAAATAAGTCAGGAAGGTAACAGACAGGCTCCGAAATTCAGGAAAATATTTATTAAAGCAAAAGTATTTAATTATTCCTTCGAACAGTAATCTGGAAGCGGGAATATACATGTAGCGACTGAAAAAGTAGTTTCGGCAGCTTAGTGCAAGCGAACTCTAGATTTTATTGATACAGTTATCAAAAGATTTTTTTATCCAATCAGAATCAAGTATTTAATAGAAATTAAAGGATAAAGCTTTTCTGGCTCAGTGGTTCTTCAGAAGATTAAAAAGAGATTTCTTATATATTTCTGTGTAAAAATTTGATTCTATATTGTGGCCCCGCCCTACCCCCAAGGGTCATCATTTTTACAATTTACATTCTACACAATGTGTACGCCAGGATGCTTCCACATAAGTTTCAGCTTTTCTGGCTCAGTGGTTCTTTAGAAGAAGATTTTAAAAGATATTTCTTATATATTTCTATGTAAAACTTTGAATCCCCATTGTGGCCCTGCCCAACACCCAGGGGTCATGTTTTGAACAATTTAGAATATACATTATCCCTGGATGCTTCCACTTAAGTTTCGGCTTTTCTGGCCCTGAGGTTCTTGAGAAGATTTTTTTAAAAATCTAAATTTCTGATCAAGTATGTTTTGTACAAAGTTTAGTCAAATTTGGTCCAGTGGTTCTTGAGAAGAAGTCGAAATTGTGAAAAATTTACAGAAAGATGGACAGACAGCTTGACAGATGGATGATGGACAAAATGTGATCAAAAAATTTACTTGAGCCTTTGCCTCAGGTGAGCTGATATGAGATGATTGTCCTTAAAAAATAACAATTTGTACAAAATTTTAACGTAACGTCAGGCAGAGATGTTTTTGATACAAGTCATTGTATTTTGTATAATATTAAGTAAAGTAATTTTTTATCCAATCAAACACAGCGTTACAACCAGAATTGAATTATTAGAGAATATTGCCACTACAGTCTTGACTTACCTTCATTTTTTGTTGATGACCTTCTTCCTCCATTGCCGAGTGAGAAATTTTAAGCTTAACTTTTCTTCTACAATTAAAACAACTTATACAAAGAAATCTACAGCTTCTACTTATATCACAAGAATGCATAAAAACATTGTTTTACAAGGCTTTAATTATCACGGACCTGGACCTTTCTATATTTATATTTTATTTAAAATGTATTTTTCAGAGAACTTTTGCCATTCACATTGATATATACCAATAGGTTCTTCTTCCTCTTCCAATTTCAGATCTCTAGGGCTGGATATATAGGTGTCTCAATCTCACACTCTGATATGATCTTTTATTTTACTATTGCCTTTAAGTCCTGTAAAAGAGCAGTATTTTAAATATTAATCATTTTCGTTATTTTCTACGCAACAAAAAGGATAGAATGTATCACTTGACCTTGAATCAAACACACATCATCTGCACCACTAGTCTGAAACTCTACCCATTAGTTTTTACTCCGCCATTAAGATGATGGATGATATCTAAATTGAAATTATGAAAATTCTTTGTCATCACATTCTCAACTATTTTTTTTTCAGAAACGGGGCTATACAACTCTATTAGCAACATTATTTTGAAAAAAAAAAATCACACAATTGTTTGTGATTTATCATAAAGTTAAAACAGATCGAGGGTCTCAGTTTTTTTTTCAGGGACTTAAGGGGTCTGTAATAGGACATTTAGAATCTACGTTATCCCAGGATACTTCAACAAAAGTTTCAGCTTTTCTTCTCCAATGTTTCCAATGAAGAAGATTTTTTAAAAGTTTTTAACAGGTCCAACACAAATTCTTGATTAAGCTATAAAGCTTTATTTAGCTATATAACTTTATTAGGTTATTCAAAATAGCTTGATTAAGCTATTTAATCACACTTTTTAAAAAAAATATTTTATTTTTTCAGCTTGTGCAAAAAGTCGCTCCTTTGTGCAGTGGAAATATTAAACTTTGAACTATTGTGAATACAATGCAAGTAAAAATCACTCACCAAACTGCGTCTCCTTGAGAGATTGTGTACTCAAAGTTTTAAAAGTTTAGGGGCTATTGATGAGTGTCCACACAGTTATATAAAAGCGGGGGTTAAAATCAGAGGAATCTCGGACATGATATTAAAAGTAGTAATATAAATTAACATGGTGCAGAGATTGTTTCATTCCTGCTTACACAACTCAGCTGCTATTTGTACCGTAATGTATAAGAAGTATCAAAATTATAATTATAATATAAACATTTACCTCCCTGATGCACACCACATTAAACTAATGTATTGATAAATCAGCATGTGCGGCCGTGGTTTGTCTTTATTTACGTTCTGTAAACCGGAATGTCGATCCCGATCTATATACTAGTTAAAATACGGTAATCAAAGTACTGAAAATACTGAGTGGAAGTTTAAAATGAAAAGAAAAAAATGGATAAATTACATGTAAATCAGTAAGAAATATAATCATTGAGTTCAGTTACATAGTACACAGCTTATAATTTTTCTGAGTGTGTTTCACAACTACACAATACATAGGCCTACAAGTATCATAGAAAGAGAGAGTGTGGGAAATGGTCACATTTCCCCGCGATAAAAGGAATCTGCAAAATGAGTCAAAGACCTTCCAAAATTAATTTTCTTCCCAATTTTTATTAAGAATTTTAACTTTCTGTTGTAAATCCACTTATTATTTTTTTCATATAAACCTGCAATCCTTGATGCCCACTTTTTATAAATAAATAAAAAACATGGGGAAAAAAATTAAAAGATTTTTGTTGGATTATAACAAATGCTACCTCATGATACTGTGTTTTTTTTTTTATCGCAGAGCAATCACCCAAGTTAATTAATTGTAAATGAGAGCTAAAGTAAGAAGGTCTGAAAGGTTGCAGGTGCGTGGCGCACGCGTTGTAGCCCTGTTTTCCAAGAGTGTCATTTAAGCTAATTAGAGAGAAAGAGAGTGAGCAAGCACGGATTTATAATTTGTTTGTTTGTCATTTCTGCTATGGCTGTTTAATTATTTTGCGTGATAAAGTCACAGAATTAACCAACTTTTAAAAAGTGTACGTCCAAAAATTCCCGCCGTTTACCCGCGCTTGATTAAATTTCTTCACTTTGACATTCAGAGCACTGGGCAGAAATCACATTGCGTCAACACCACGTGACGGCCATCGCAATGCTTTGTTTTGCAGAATTTATGCAATTTTGATTTGATACTTTGAAATTAGATCTATGAAAAAACTTCAAACTAGCTCTTCATCATGAAAACGTAATTAAAATCCTGCATCTGAAGCAATTTTGAGAGCTCTCATCTCTTGATACATCATCTGTGCAAGTTTAACTTAGGTTTATATAAGCCTTATAGTTTCTTGGTTATAGACTTTCACCCATAACTTTTACTAGGTCCATTATCTGGGAAATGTATGAATGTCGAATTCAGCATCTGAAGAAAGTCTATTAGTTGATTGATTGATTGTATATTGTTTAACGTCCCTCTCGAGAATTTTTCACTCATATGGAGATGCCACCACTTGCCGGTGGAGAGCTGCAAATTTTGTCCTATACTCGGCACTCAGTGCCATTGAGTAGGGAGGGATCTTTTTCGTGCCAGCACCTTCTGCGACACAGGACCACCGTTTATACGGTCTCATCCGAAGGACCGGCCTCCACGTCCCACAGTGGGATTCGAACCCGCGACATAAAGATTGACTCCTTACTTCGCGACTCTAGAGCAGACGCTCTAACCACTGCACCACGGGGGCGACACGAAAGTCTATTAATGTGCATCTTAAGATGTATCATCCATACAAGTTTGCTTGACAAAGTTACTTGGAAATGAAACCTGAATAAAAAAAACTGTAACTTCTTCACTCGTCCAGAAAATGTAGGTCAGGTTCAGCATCTGAAGCAAGTCTGGAAGTAAGATGTATCATTCATGCAAGTTTAGTTAACATAGGGCTCATAGTACCTCGGAAACGAAACCTGCATCAAAAAACTTTAACCTCTTCACTCAACCGGAAAATGTAGGTCAGATTCAGCATCCGAAGCAAGCCTGGTAGAGTGCATCTTAAGACGCATCATCCATGCAGGTTTGGTCAATAGGGCTTAATTTATTACAGTTACTCGGAAATGAGACCTACACTAAAACTGCACCAAACATGTTGACCTGCTCCAAAAACATTAACCTGGTCATTCCTTTGCTGAAATTGCAGCATCTGAAACTCTGACTGGTACAAAAAAACACACACTTGAAACATCTTCCATGCATGTGTAATCAATATAGGACATAGAAGTACTTATAAAGAAAACTGCTCCAAAAAACTTAACCTTAATCTGGGACGCCGACGCCGAGGGTATTACATAAGCTCCCCTAACTTCGTTGAAGTGAACGAAAAAGAGAAGGTATGGTAGCATTTGAATTATAGAGGACAGATGGTGTCATTTAATTTAGAAATAAATATACAAAGGTATTTTAACAGGTCTGGACGATTTCTAAATAAGGAAGTCAAGAACGATAACCGTGAATTGCTATTAATACACAGAATAAACAAGGCACTAATCCTTCTAACCATTCAGATAACAGCATTTAGACAAACCCATGAGAGAAGAAATAAAACACGTGGTTTTTAAGTTTTTTGCTTAAAAGATTTTTTTAGAACAATCTTTTTGTAAACTTTATGCGCATTTGGGAATAATATAATATTTATGACAATTCTACCGTGAACAAACACGACTTGAAAGCTTGGAATACGTTTTAAGTGGGATAAAAAATCTATCTCTAGGAGTTAGCAATCCCAAAAGTTTACTTACGTTAAAAAATTGATATAAATATGGTAAATTTTCAGTTTTTAGAGCCTGACATAAAAATCTTATCGAAAAGATAACAGTCTTTATTATTTTTGAGTGTTTATTACAGAATACATGTACATGTACTAGTAGTGCATGCAGTTAATGTGCGAGGTAAGATATTGAGATAAAAAGCATTCATGTATGATTACAGGATTCTCTTTTCTCCACGTTAAACGCCTTTCCTTATGCCCATTTAAAGTCTGCATAGCTAAGTATTCGGCGTTCATGAAACCCGTGATAATGCAAAACTACCGGTATATGTGTATACTCCATACGATAAACACTTCTGTGAGTTGATCTATACACATTGAATTTAAGCATTATCGATGAAAATTGGACGGCTAAGCAGTATTATATTTACCATCATATAATAAATTCTGGTAAATGTTATAATTGAACTTGATAAAAAACTTGCTGGTGCGATCTATACCTCTGTAAACAATTACATTCTATCGTGCATTATTATTTTTTCTTTACCGATATAAAGATCTCAAGGTTGTTCACGGTAAAATGTGGGGAATACCTTATTCTTCAAAAGTTTTCATCTTACTTCTACAAATTTTTTGTTAAAAAAATCTTTTTGAGGAAAAAAAAGCACGTGTTATCTTTTTGTTCTTTTAAAAAATGTTTTGGAGTGTGTAAAAATACTGTTGTCTGATTGGACAGAAAAATAATTACGTGTACTTGATGTACATTAATAGCAACTTTCGGTTATCGTTCTTGACTTCCATATTTAGAAATCGTCCAGACCTGTTTAAAGATTTTAAATTTGTCGTTGGCATAATTTCACAAAACTTGAGTGTATTTGGTGTTTTACAAAATCTGGGATGTAAACAATTTTGAATGTTTTCCTTGCATAATTAACGTGAAATTGTTACCTGTAAGTGTTATATTTTTACATGTATGAAATACATCAAACAGAACTAGAACTGTCCAAACGGGACAAAATACCCTCCGCTGGTTTTTTCAGAAGTAAGTTTTTCCATAATGAAGATATGTATCAAACACGAATTATGAAATTTTTTATTACAGTGACCTTGAACTTCCCCAAATAACCTTAGGTCAAGGTCATGACACACCCTTGGGTCATAGGCAATCTTTTAGTGAAATGAGAACCTTCCAAGTTTATCCATAAGAAAGATATGGACCGGACTTGAATTATGAAATTTTCTTCCAGTGACCTTGAACTTCCCCAAATGACCTTGGGTCAAGGTCATGACACACCATTTGGTCATGGGCAATCTTTGTGTGAAATGAGAACCTACCAAATTTATCGATAAGAAAGATATGGACCAGACACAAATTATGATATTTTCTTCCAGTAACCTTAAACTTCCCCAAATGACCTTGAGTCAAGGTCATGACACACCCTTGGGTCATGGGCAATCTTTGTGTGAAATAAAAACCTACCAAGTTTATCCATAAGAAAGACATGGACTGGACACAAATAATGAAATTTTTCTTCCAGTGACCTTGAACTTTCTCAAATGACCTTGGGTCAAGTTCATGACACATTCTCGGGTCATGGGCAATCTTTGTGTGAAATGAGAACCTACCAAGTTTATCCATAAAGGACATGTATCAAACATGATTTCTGAAAATTTTCTTCCAGTGACCTTGAACTTTCCCAAATGACCTTGGGTCAAGGTCATGACACACCCTTGGATCATGGGCAATCTTTGTGTGAAATGAGAACCTACCAAATTTATCCATAAGATAGATATGGACGGGACACGAATTATGATATTTTTCTTCCAGTAACCTTGAACTTCCCCAAATGACCTTGAGTCAAGGTCATGACACACCCTTGGGTCATGGGCAATCTTTGTGTGAAATAAAAACCTACCAAGTTTATCCATCAGAAAGATATGGACCGGACACAAATAATGAAAATTTTCTTCCAGTGACCTTGAACTTTCTCAAATGACCATGGGTCAAATTCATGACACATTCTCGGGTCATGGGCAATCTTCGTGTGAAATGAGAACCTACCAAGTTTATCCATAAAGGACATGTATCAAACATGATTTCTGAAAATTTTCTTCCAGTGACCTTGAATTTTTTCCAAATGACCTTGAGTCAAGGTCGTGACACACCCTTGGGTCATGGGCAATCTTTGTGTGAAATAAAAACCTACCAAGTTTATCCATCAGAAAGATATGGACCGGACACAAATAATGAAAATTTTCTTCCAGTGACCTTGAACTTTCTCAAATGACCTTGGGTCAAGTTCAAGACACATTCTCGGGTCATGGGCAATCTTTGTGTGAAATGAGAACCTACCAAGTTTATCCATAAAGGACAAGTATCAAACATGATTTATGAAAATTTTCTTCCAGTGACCTTGAACTTTCCCAAATGACCTTGGGTCAAGGTCATGACACACCCTTTGGTCATGGGCAATCTTTGTGTGACATGGAAACCTACCAAGCTTATCCATAAGAAAGATATGGACCAGACACGAATTATGAAATCTTTCTTCAAGTGACCTTGAACTTCCCCAAATGACCTTAAGTAAAGGTCATGACACACCCTTAGGTCATGAGCAACCTTAGTTTGGAGTAGTAGATTCTAATGTCCCTCTGTAAGAAAGATATGGACCGGACACGATTGCACAGACAGACGGACAGCTAGACGGACGGACGGACGGACAGCTGACAGACAGATGGACAAGGTGATTCCTATATAACCCCCCAAACTTCATTTGCGGGGGGTATAAAGAAAATGATATCGATATGTTTTATTCATTCATTAATATGCTTTTATTGTGAATACTTCTACAAGTATCAACATGATCAATATACAATTTTCTTAAAATACAAATTTAATGTGTTCTATTGGTGTGGAAGTTAAACAACCCTGAATTGTACAATTTAGACACATGCAAGAAAAAAATAAGTACATGTACCTCTAACTAGAGACACATACAATAAAAAACTTTAAAAAATACTCAAAATGCATAATTATATAGATAATTGTACATTGAAAATCAGAATAAAATACGTAAAATTTATATATATATATATATATATATATATATATATATATATATATATATATATATATATATATATATATATATATATATATATATATATATATATTTATATAAAAAAAAAACAAACATAAATAACAAATACAATAAGAAATGTCTTCTTTAGAATACTCAAATGTATTTTCGCACTAATCTTTTTTTCCTCATACAAATCACATTGAGGAGGCATTGTACACGTTTTAGTATACTGCTCAATTTACTAATATCCTTCTGAATGTTACGTTTATCGAAAGTCCCTTCCAAGTGACAAGTCACATTTAAGAGACAAATATTTAAGAAATATGTACGTAACATTTGCCATGAGTACCTTCAATACATGTGCTATGTATCATACATCCCTCCACCAAGTCAAATTATCCCAAGTCCTTCTCATCTATGTCGCTTTTATCCAAAGTCCCTCTTTAATATGTCGCAAAAATCGAAAATCCCTGTTTTATATGTCACATGTACATTTGTCCAAAGCCCCTGTTTCATATGTCCCATTTAGCAAAAGTCCCGCTTTAAAAAGTCATTTATCCAAAGCCCCCTTTTCATAAGTCACATTTATCTAAAATCACTCCCACATAAGTAACGATTATGCAGAGTCCCTCTCACACATGTCAGATTTGTGCAAAATCCCTCCCATATATAACTTGTTTTGCAATCAGAATGTTTCATTGTTGATTACATGCCACGTAATGCTTGATAAAATCTGGAGCTAAAATACATTACTTTATTTATATTGTAATCCTCAAATCCACTTATTTATTTCTAGAATATCTCGAACACAAATTGCAATTATAACCTTTATTTGTTCTCATTGACCTCCGATATTGTTTTAATTAGTTGAAAGTCCTTCCACATATTCATTTCTCATCATATTTACGAGGTTCATGAGCAGAGTGAATCTTAATGTCTGTGCAAGGTGCTTGAACAGTTGAAGGTGATCTCAAACACATTATAAGGTTTTCCAGCTCATGATCAGGCATATGGAAATACATGTAACAATTAGCCTTCAAGTTCATAAAACAAAATAAATTAGAGCACATGAAACACGAACGTCCAAAACATGAGGTGGAATCAGGTGCCATGGAGGAGTGAGACTCCTCTGCCGACCTGCCATGTGTTTCTAGTCTCTTTTACAGATAATGCCTTCCAACTCACATGTCCCATTCCTAAGGTTTGTAACCTGAATTTATTCTTTCGTGAACCCGTCTGTTACTTGATTGATTGAATGCCTTCCCACTCACATCACATTCATAAAATTTATAATCTGTAAGTCATTGTGTCTTCATATATGACTGTAAGTTACCAATTGTTTGAATGTCCTTTCACATACATCACATTTATTAAGTTCTAATATGTATGTGTCGTCATGTGTTTATCTAAATGCGTTTTTTGACCAAATGCTTTCTTACACAAACCACATATATAAGGTTTGTCACCAGTATGTATCCTACGATGTCTTTTGAAGTTACCTGAAAAACGAAATGACTTTCCACATACATCACATGTATATGGTTTATCACCTGTATGTGTCCTTGTGTGTGTCAGTAAGTGATGTGAGTGGCTGAATATCTTCCCACATACATCACATTTATAAGGTTTTTCACCTGTATGTGTCTTCATATGTGACTGCAAGCTATAAAACAGGTAGGTTTCCTTCCCACACAAGTCACATTTATAAGGATTATCACCGTTATGTCTCCTCCTGTGTACCTGCAAACTACCTGACTCCGTGAATGCCTTGCCACACATACTGCATACATAAGGTTTATCACCTGTGTGTATCCTAACATGTCTCTTTAAAGTACTTGACAATTTGAATGTCTTTCCACACACATCACATTTATAAGGTTCATCACCTGTATGTATCAGCACATGTGTCTTTAAGTGACATGATTGACTGAATGCATTTCCACACACATCACATTTATACGGTTTATCACCTGTATGCATCCTCATGTGTGTTTGAACGGCATTTATCCTGATGAATGCTTTCCCACACACATCACATTTATGAGGTTTATCACCTGTATGTATCATAACATGCGTCTGTAATGTACTTGAATGTTTGAATGCCTGTCCACATACATCACATTTATAAGGCTTATCACCTGTATGTGTCCTCATGTGACTTTAAGTTCTGTGAGTGGTTGAATGCCTTTCCACACATATCACATTTATAAGGTTTATCACCTATATGTGTCCTCATGTGTTTCTGTAAGATATTAGAACGATTGCATACCTTCCCACATACATCACATTTATGAGGTTTATCACCTGCATGTGTCCTCGTGTGTCTCTCTAAGTCACTTGGCTGTTTGAATGCCTTTCTACACACATCACATTTATAAGGTCTCCATAACTGATGTGGATGATTAAATATTTTCATACTGATGTTACATTCATCGGGCTATTTACTTTCACAAGTATTTATGGATTGTTCAAAATTCCCAAATTCATTTTCATTCACACTATAGTTTAACGTCACAGGATGTCTTTCTGATCTGAATGCAAATTCTGCCTTTTCTTTCTGTAAATGCGACAAAGAAATCAATTATATGCTATTTCAAGGTATTTATCTAGAAGATATCAAAAGATCTAGGGTCACATGGTTCACCTGAATAAATATGGCCATGCTTTTATTCATTCTTTTTTTTTTACATGATGCCCTCCTTGTAATACCTGTTGTGGCCCACCTTACCCCTGGGGTCATGATTTGAACACTTTAGAATCAACACCACCTCAGGATGCTTCCACATAAGTTTTCTGGCCCAGTGGTTTTTAAGGAAAATTTTAAAGAACTTTTCCTATATACTTCAAAATAAGACTTGGATTCCTTATTGTGGCCCCATCATGTCCCCACTGTCATGATTTGAGCAATTAAGAATCTACACTACCTAAGAAGTCTTCCAAAAATTTTTCAGCATTTCTGGCCCAGTGGTTTTTGAGAAGACCTCAAAGATTTTTTCCTATAAACATGAATTTGAATATATAAGGCCGTTGGGCCTTGTAGGTCAACTGAGTATTATGTAACATCTTTCAACCATTAAATTTGACTCCCGTTTTAAACCAGAGGACATGACATTCACAATTTTGAAAGAGGCACCACTGCTCATCATTTAAGAAATAAGGTATCATTTTTTAACATCTATCAGGATATGAATAAGGGTTGATCACGAGATCAAATTTCATGAAGCCGGAAGGGCTTTATGGTGAATTTGATCTCTAACCAATCCGTATTTATAGCCTGAAAGATGTTTCAAAATGACGCCTTATTACACATTTGTGACTCATTCATATTTGATATCGCCTGATTATGACTTAATGCCTGAAATGTTTTATTTTTCAAACCCATTGACATGTATGTAATCCATTGATTGCACATCGATTCTTTGTGACGACACAGAGAAATTATGTCAAACATTTATGATGTTTTTAGGAGCCTGCATTTATACAGTTATAAATATGCATTGCTCTCAGAAGTTTTATAAACAGGGAAACATTTGCAAATGTAAATGTGACTATAATATATTATATTAAGCATGCTTAGTTTGGTTACTTAATAATCACAGACAAAATAGGGGAACGAAAAAAATGCATTTCAACCAATCAGTAATATTCAGCAATAATCAATTGTGCCACTACGACACAGGATCCCTTATCACAATTCTGGAAAAAGGACCATTTTTCATTTTTCCCCCCATATCTATAAGTACTAATACTAGAACCCCTGACCCTGGAAATTAAAATTCATATTCATAAAATTCAAATTTCTGCAAGAGGCATCCTTTCCATCATAAGATTGTAGGAAGTTAATTTGGTTAATACTCAGGAACAGAGTACAAGATTTTCAAAGAATTATTGCATTTTCACAATATAATTAAAGTAGCACTGCCCTAATAGAACCCCTGACCCTGGGGCCATGAAATTCACAATTTTTGAAAAGGCATCCTTCCTTATCATAACTTTGTAATTAGTTTATATTTTTTTACCAAGATTTTCAAGGAACTAATACATACAAAAAGATGCATTGCACCAAGTTTGGTTGAAAGTCCAGTGGCTTTTTGAATAGAAGTTAAAAATGTGAAAAATTCACATACTGACAGACAGAGGACGGACGACAGAGAATGGGTAATCAGAAAAGCTAACTTAAGCTTTCAGCTCATGTGAGCTAAAAATCAAAATTTTCTCATTCAAAAAATTTTCATCAGATATTGTAAATGGTAATTTTTTCTAAAAATTTCTTTTCAGACATCTAAGATAAATAATACTAAATGTTTGTGAATAAAATGTCAAAACTTAATAGAAATTGAAAAAAAGATGTGATTGTTCTAATATTTATATAAATAAAGAAATGTACTTGATGAATAATATACATTTATTGACTAAGTTCGAGAACAACATGCATTTTGTTGGACTGAAACAAAACTGTTTGTCTGGGGCAATTAGGCCAATGGCAGACACAAGGTATATGTAAGGCAACACACAGATTAGAATTTGGTGAAATGACTTTTTGTAATACATGCATGCGACACTGATAATTGGAAAAATAATGGATAAAACTGTTGCCATCATTATTCATTCCATAGGGGTACATCCCAGTAGTTATTTTTTGAATCACTAGGAGAAAAAAGTAGTGCAGAAAAAATACAAGTCCCTTAATTTGCAGACTTGCACAAAAAATTGTGAAGATGCACTAAACTGAGCCTCACACTTGTTGATAAGAATTATCTTTCCTACCAGAATAGCTTGGCAAATGTACTTTATCAAAACAGATCTGCCGAATTATTTTGTATTATAACATCATGGGGCCAAGTTCAAAATAATTTTTTTTTCTCTTTCAAACCAGGGATGCAAAGACTCAGTCGTTAAGAGGGTAACACTTTTTTTCTCAGAAAATTCAATTTTAATGATTTAAATTTTTTAAATCTCTTTTTTTAAAAATACATTTAAAAAAATTGGCTTTTTGGGGTTAGAAAAGTTTTATCAAGTAGGTTGGTGAAGTAATTTTTCAATAATTAAATAATTTTTAAAATTTGGACTGGGCATTGTGGTTACTGTAGACTCCTTATTATGGGTGAGGAATTGATCATCCTGTAATTTACATTAGAATCATCAAATGCAAAATAAATTTTTTTGCTCTTATTCTTGTGGTGATAAAATCTATGTAAATTCTCTTGATCAGCCATTCATTAGTGAATAATTATTCTCGCCTTGACTTACCTTCACTGTTACTTTGTGTTGATGATCTTCTTCCTCAATTTCAGGGTTAGAAATCTCAATGGTAAACTTCTCTTCTACAATTAAAACAAGATATATGAAGAAATCTACAATTTCTTTGTCATCCCAAGAATGCATGAATGACAGATGATGAAGTAGAGCAGAGGAATACAAAGAGTAAAACATTAAGGCTACTCAGGTAACAAAGAAGAAAGGGTTTTATACATCATAAGGCCATTCCAAGTTTTTTTCTATGTTTAGCGTCCGCGCGCCTTGGTTTTTGACACCTCATATAAGAAAAGACATACAACATCAGGAGTCCTGAAACTGATTAATTTAGTAGAAATTTTTGTATTTTGTCATTTTCTCCAAATAATTCTGTACAGTAAGTTATACTGAGTGTATTTTAAGCATTTAATCCCTTGTTTTTGCCTAAGAATAGATATTTCCTCTATTAAAGCAGTTTAGTTAGATCAAATCATTTGAAGGGCATCATTTTTATGACTTTTAAGCCTGTGTTTTATGTTTTGGCTTGTGTGTTTTTTCCGAATAGGTAGGTAGGTTTTTGAAAGATGGGTGGACACTAAACCGAGAAAAAAATTGGAATGGCCTAATGAAGGGCCTTTCCATTTGAGAACTAGATGTATTTGTGAAACACTATGCGCCCGGTGGTAACAAAGTTCTAAAAAGCAATTTTTGGCAAAAAGGTCACAGTCAAGGTAATACGATCATTGTCCTTGGTGTTTTTTGAAACCACTTAATTAGTGGAGTATGCATAACAAATATGTAGTCTCTATCTCCTATGGTTTCAAAGTTCTTGCGAAAGTTTGAAAAAGCTAATTTTAGCTTACAGGTCACAGTCAAGGTCACAAGGTTATTGACCTTGGTGTCAGTTGAAAGTGCTTAATTAATGGAGTATGCATACCAAATATGAAGTCTACACTCTCATGTTCAAAAGTTAAAATGAAGGTTAAAGTTGACAACAGACAGACAAACAGATAAACAGACAAACAGACAGACAAACAGACAGACAGGACAAAAACAATATACGCCCTGAATATATTCGGGCACATAAAAATATCATATTTATTATTTTTGTAAATAAAATCAAATAAATATTTTATTTACATGGGCAATATATTGTTACCGATTTTACATTCCATCAACCAGTTTTTGGAGCATGCCTTTTACATGTAAATTGTGTCACATATGAAAATTTTCCTTTATAGAGTGATGACTTGGTTTACAAAAAGGCAAATATTAAAAAAGTATTTATAACTTTTTTAACATTCAGTATAATATAAATAAATAAATATTGCATGTCTTTAAGTGTACCATTGAAAATTGTCACCCAATAAAAACCATTGTCAACCTCCGCTGCACCTCGGTTGATGCAATGGTTTCCTTGGGGTGAAAATTTTCAATGTTACACTGACCTAAATGCAATATCTATATATCATTTGTAATGTATTTTTGAGAAGTTTTGTTATTTATATGTATATTTAAGGAATCACTGTCTAGTTAGTATATAGTTTGTCAGGGCATCAATGATAGTGGGAAACATGGGATAATTTGCATAATGGGCGAAGCCTGTTATGCATTAATTATCCCATGTTTCCCACTATGATTGATGTCCCTGGCATACTATACTAACTAGACAGTGATTCCTTCCTTATAGTTCCATTTCATAGTGAAATAAAATTGTAGATTTAAATGTTTAAAATGTAGACAGATGTGAGAACTATTGAAATTGGCATGGGACCCACAGACGTTAAACTCAAAGGCAGCTGCACGAGATTTACATGCATATTTGGCCTCCTTAGCATCAGACACAAAGACAGATGCACACCAGATTTGCATACATATTAGCCCTCCTTAGCTCCTGGCCTATCAACCTGCTTAACTTACATTCTGGCAGAATTATCATGAAATCAACTCCACTTACTTTCAAAGGGTTATCACAGAGAACAAAAATTAGAAATGGAAATATATATGTATATATACCAGTAGATTCTTCTCCCTGATCCGATACTGGATCTCTGGTGCTGGGTAGAGCTGTCTTCACCTCAAACTCTAACATGGTCTGTTTATTCAATTATTGCTCAAACTCCTGTAAAAATTAAAAGAA